CTGTGGTATTCCCATAATGAGGGAGCTATACGGCGGGAACAAGAGTTATTCCTCAGCTACTTATATTTTGGGAATGTCCACTCTAAGGTAAATTCAAGTGGCCTGTGGTCAGTCTTTACCATGGGCTCTTACAAACTGTGATTTCCATTTAAGACAGGTGCCACATCTTGTTTCTCTTTGTCTCTTCATATGAAGTGCAAGGTTGATAGTAATCTCCCTGAAAATAGCCCTACTCAGTACAGAGATTGAAAAGTCCAGGGTACCAGCCACAGAGACAGTGTATCTCTGAAGGAGCCTGTGTCAGTCTTCCCGACTACCCAAGGTTCCCGTGTGATCTCTTGGATAGGTGCTTTTTCTTTAGCTTTGGGTAAAGTGAGGTGTGTCTCAGGAGCAGAGCAGAGAGACTTCTGTGGACCTCACTAGCACTGCCTACTTGGCGGGGACCTTGATTTCTCAGATTCAGGACTGTGTTGTAGTCACATGATAATCTTTTTTTTTTTTTTAGTTTTATTTTAAAGAGAATAAAATGAAGCAAAATAAAACAGAATAAAGCCAATCAAAACAAACTAGGGCAAGTGACACATGATACAGGACTTCAAAAACAATATGAAATCAACAATGGTTACCATAATGCCTCTTGTCTTCAAAATAGCTGCCCATACCATCAGACATAGTAAAAATCAAACAAAACATAACAGAATAGAACCAGTAAAAACAACACAATGAATGTGATAAAGGAATTCAAAACAAGATAGTAGTGAATCCAAAATGGCTACCATAATCTATCTTGTTATCTTTGAAATAGCTGCCCAATGCCCACTGGACATAATGAAATCAAACAAAACAAAATAAAACCCAACTGATCAAGCCAATGAAAATGGTATAGGGCTTCAAAACAAGATAATAGGGAATTAACAGTGGCTACCACCTTCAGAAGGAGATGCCCCTACATGCCACACTGTTATCTTCTGAATAGATGATCAGACCATCAGCCCTAGATCTGCCAAGTCAGTGAAACACCAAAACATAACAAGCATCAAATTGCATCTCAATAGCTATCATTGCATCTCAATAGCTATCATTGCAACCATCTCCAGATCAGCCAGTCTCTTACAGAGGTGGTAGTGTGGTGGTTGGCTCTTCTTACTTCCCAGCCTGCACGCTGGATGGGGTTGGGGTATGACCCTTCCCCTGCTGGCGGTGGCCTGCGTGTGATGCTGGTTCACAGGGAGGGCTCACATGGTAATCTTTAGATGCAAAGATCAAATGTTTTATCCAGATGAGGAAGAATTCTATACCTTCTTGGTGGCATTTTTCATGGGCTCTGAGTTTATTAAAATTCTCTTTGAGCTGCTGCTTTTCCTGGACTTTGGCTTTGCCTAAGAGTAGGCTGACCTAGGATTGCTTTGATTTTGAAGAACACCTGGGTCTTCTCACCTGTGTGAAGCTCTGTGATGCACAGCTGGTGTGGCTGGCTGTGGGGAAGGAGCCCTTTGCATGTGCTATACCCGCGGTTTCTGAAGTCCTTTGGTTCCTACTAAGCTGAGATCCAGCATTGTCCTGATGAGCCAAGAAAGACCTAGAAATCTGTCACATCCACATCTACAATGTGGGACCCAATGTAACCTGCAGTCATGAGTTTTTTGGGTCTTTTTGGTTGTTGTTGTTGTTTTTTTTTTTTTTCCTTTTTTTTTTTATCGGTACCAGGGATCGAACTCATGACTGCCTGCCTGCAAGGCAGGTGCTTATGCCACTGAGCTAAATCTCCAGCCCCTTGGTTGTTGTTTTTTGAGACAGGGTCTCACTATGCAGTTCAGGTTGGCCTTGAGCTCACTTTGTAGCCCAAGCTGATCTCAAACTCATAATAATTCTCCTGTCTCAGCCTCCCAAGTGCTGGGATTACAGGTGTGCGTCACCATGCCCGGCCTTTATGAGTTTTTAAATAAAATGAGCTCTAATTCAGAAGAGTTAAAACTTGGACTGTTCCTGAAGCTCAAGGGGTTGTTTGAAATGCTCCCTACATTCACTTCAGATGCTCACCTCTGAGTGCTCGCTGCAGGTTTCTGTGGTCGTCTTCCTGTTGTGCCAGCTGGTACATCCACTTCGGTTTTATTAAGAAGCACAGTTGGCAGGTATGCGGTCTTGATGGCTTGCTCCACGGCTCTGAGATCAGGGCAGGAAGACGAAACTCAAGGCCAGAGGACTCCCCATGGCATACAACAAAAATAAATAAGACAGCTGGGTTGAAGAAGTTGGTCTCTTGGGCCTTCTTACACCCTTCACTATTGTTGATCAATCCGCAGATGTTGACCGAGCACCCCGTGTGGACACTGATGGTGTCAGGCTCAATGTCTATGGCTCAGAGTGACGGGGAGCAAGCAAGTGCTGGTAGCATCACAGGAGCAGTGATGAAGTGCTGCCATTTCTAGGGTTCATCCTTGCAGAGGTTTCATCCACCCACTTCCCACCCAGGTCTGCCGCTGTCCAAACTGTATGTTATCCCTGTTAAAATACTTATTTTATTTTTTAAAAATTTTAATTTAAATTAAAAAAAATTTTTTGGTGTTTTGAGACAAGGTCTCACTATGTAGCCCAGACTGGCTTTGTACTCAGAGTGATCCTCCTGCCTCTGCCTCCTGAGTACAGGAATTATACACATGTGCTACTTCTTAATGATTACCAATTTTTAGTGTTCAAAACATGAATTACCTACTTGTTCAGTAGGTAGTGTGTACAGCAGGTCTAGCTTGCTCTTGATGGCCTTTTCCTTTACTTCCTTTTTTGTGTGTACGTGTGTTATTTATTCCTATAAGTCAGGCCAAAGGAGAGTGAATCAACTTCTGAAACAGGCCTCGGTACCTACCTTTTGTGTTTCCAGGGATGCTCAGTTAATTTAAGAAGACTTTGGTCTTTATGACTTCCTAGAACTCGTCAGCTGCATGCTACCAGTCTTGGCACAGCAGGCACTTTGTCATGGCACTGCTGTGACTGCAGCATTTCTGCGAAACTGCAAGAAAGAGATTGCTTCTGCCCCAAGTGACTGGTGACAGGTCAGAGTCACAGGCCCTAGACAGATAGCTGCCACTTGCACACAGGGCATGGCCTGCCAGGCTGTGGACTCTCAGGCAGCCACATCCCTCCAGTGCCCAGCCCTTTGAGCCACATGGGGGTCTCTTCTGGGTACCATTGGAACCTGAAGGGTCCTCAGGGTTCTGAAAATGGCTTCAGATGGTTTTCCTTTGGAAATATTTTTTTCTTTCTTTCTTTTTTTTTTTTTTACTTTCACAAAACTAATAATGTCTCAGTGTTGAATTTTTTTAATCTAGAAAAGAAAAAGAGATTTAAAATAAATACTCTTTCAGTACCCACAGCTAAATTATAGAATATTTTTCTTCTCATTTTTTCTAAGACTTTTACATTGTTAAGATCACCTTATCAGTTAGTTTTCTGCCTTTTCCTTTATATGAGATATCACTGTCCTTTTTAGGATTTGTTCTTATTAAGAATTACTTTAAGTCAACATATTTAATTGTGCAGAAACTTGCCTGATTCTATTTATTTATATATTTTGGTTTTTTGTAACAAGGTCTCACTCTGTAGCGCAGGTGGGTCCTGAAATCTTGGTGATCCTCCTGCATTAGCTTCCTGAGGCTGGGATTACAGGTGTGTGCTAGCATGCCCAGCTTTGCTGGATTTTTTTTTTTTTTTTTTTTTTTTGGTCCTGGGAGTCGAACTCAAGACTTCACGTTTGCCAGGCAGGCGCTGTGCCACTGAGCTATATCCCCAGACCGGCCTGGTTAAGTATAGGTTGTTTCCAGCATTTTATTACTATAAATAATCCTGCATTGAACATCGCTGAGCACAAACTTTTCTTTATATTTAGTGTTACTGCTCTGGGGTAGAATTCTACAAATAAAGTTCTTAGTTTGAGGGTTAGATGCAGCATGAAAACTAATGATATATAGTACCAAAGTGCTTCACAAAGAATCATGCCACTAGGCTTTTCTTATCAGCGACACTGAACTCAACTGGCTTAGTACATCTTCTTTGACTTTGAGCCTTCTTTTTTAGTGATAAAATGTACTTCTGACATATGCATACACATGCAAAACCAGGCATTGCTTTGAAAATTGTTCTTATTACTCTGTGTTATCCTTCCTTCCTGCTCCTCCCTGACAGTCAAACACCCCCTAGGCAGGCTCAATCTGCCTCTGCTATTGTAGATTGATTTCTATTTTCTAGAACTTTATTCTAGCAGAATCCTATATATGATTACATATATACATATAGAAGCATAAAGAGACATAATGTGTGTATACATATATATACATACATGGTCTTTTTCTCATGACAATTATTTTGAGATTTATTTATTCTTATCCTCCTCCTCCCCTCCTTCCTCTTCTTCTCCTCCTCCTCCTTTTCCTTCTTTACCTTTATCTTCTTACTGTTTGCCGACTGGTAATTCCTCATATACTCTAGTTTTTAATCCACTCACTGGTTGCTAAGTTTTTCATTACCTCTAACTTTTTGCTATTATGTATACACCTGCAGTAAACATTCATACACATTCTTCTTTTGAGGGGGCAGAGATTAGATTTATTGATTAACTGTTTTAAAGGCAAGGATGGCACAGTGGAAGGCTGCAGGGGTGCAAGACCCTTCATTGGTTCAGGGAACCACAATTGGGATGTATTTCACCCCACAACCATCAGGGATCAACTGCTTCTCAGCCACCGTGTCTTCAAATTTATCCGCACTGAGCTTGAAGCCCCACTTCTTGGAGACATGGATCTTCTGGTGGCCAGTGAACTCGAACTTGGCCCTGTGTAGGGCCTCAATCTGATGTTCCCTGTTCTGCAATGCACATGGACATGACCTGTCCAATGTGAACCCTCACCACTGTGCCCTGGGGCTTCCTGAAGGCACCCCGCATTCCTGTCTGCAGCCTAGACTGGGGACAGCAAGAGATCGATCAGACACTCAAACATCCACTGGGAAACTGTCTCCAACGTCCCTTCCAGCAGCCAATACAAGGAACAGGCTACATACACTACAGAGGAGGTTGCTGTTTGCAAACACAGTACAAAAACATTCTTCTGGACTTGTTGAATGTCTTGGCTTAACATTTTTTAAGCATATTTTTAACTTCTTCAGATACTAAGATACTATGTTTTCCAAAGTGGTTGCTATACCATTTCCCAATCACTACATGAGAATTCCAGTTCTCTTACATTCTTGCGAGTGATTGGTGTGGTCAATCTTTCTAGTTTTTAGTCTAGAGTGAGTGAGGTGTGATAACCTCTTGTGTTGATTAATTATGCTAACATTCTTCTATATATTTACCTGTTGTCTGTGCATTTGCTTTGGTGACAAATCTTTTGTCTATTGTTAAATTAGTTTATCTTTATTGGGTTGTGATATATTTTGGATAGAAGTCTTTTATCAGATTTGTATTATACAAATATCATTCCAGGTGTTTATCAATATTATTGATTTTTTAAAATTTTATTTTAAAGAGGGTAAAATTAAACATAACAAAACAGATCATAAGAAAACAGGGCTGGGGATTTAGCTCAGCAGCATAAGCACCTGCCTTGCAAGCACATTGTCATGAGTTCAATCCCTGGTACCGGTAAAAAAAAAAAAAAGAAAAAAAAAAAAAAGAAAAGAAAAGAAAACAAAGAGACACAGATTTCAAAGCAAGACAACCAGAGATCTTCACTGTATATCATATTGTCTCTCATTTTCTTCCAAATAGTTGTCCATATCTTCACATACAATGAATTCATACAAAACACAATAGTATAAAACTGATCAGAACAGGATGATGAAGGAATTTAGGTCTTCAATACTAGACAATAGGGAAGTCAACAATAGCTGCCATAGTGTCTCTCGTTCTCTTCAAAATAGCTGTCCATACCTTCATGTATGTTGAAGTTAAACAAAGCAAAACAGACTAAAATCACTCTGAACAAAAAAAAATAGTATTGCTGGATTTCACATCATGACACTACGGAATCAGGACTGGGTACCTTAGTGTCTCTTTTTCTTCAAAGTAGCTATTCATTACATTGTGCATTATATAATCAATTCTTATAAACTGTTTAGAAGTTCTACACATGTATGAATCTCTACATGTATACCTACCCTTTCTGTATTAGAGGGAAAAACAAAACAAGACAAAACAAATTCCTAGAAAAACACAAAATGAAAAAGACATATAAACAATAGCAAAGAGCCCAGAACACTGACAATATAGGCCTTCAAAACAACTAGATTTGTTTTGAACAACTAGCATAACTAGAGTTGTTATTTTACATATTGATCTTCAAGAGTTCCTCAGATCGCCATACAATAATATGCACAATTGTTCCAATCCTATGATTGATAACTGTTTTGTCCCAAGAACTTATGGAATTTGTAGCACAATCATCTTAGCTATCCTAAGTGTGTTTATATAATTTTAGATATTTTTTCTTTTCCTTTCCTTTTTCTTTTTCCTCATTTTCCCTGAGATACTATTTTTCCCCTTTAAGCAGATTCTTACCCTTTCACTGTATTCTTATACTTTCACTGTATTTATTTTTTTGTATTTTATGCACTCTTACTATTTCTTACATTAGGGACACTATACGGTATTTATACATGTGAGTTTATTTCATTTATGAGTATGGTCTCAAGTTGTACCCACTTACTTATAAATATCTCGATGTGATCATTCTTTGTAGCAGAGTAATACTCCATTGTGTGAAAATACCACATCTTTTTTCATTGTGTGAAATACCACATCTTTTTTCATTGTGTGAAAATACCACATCTTTTTTATCCATTCCTCAGTTGATGGGCATCTAGGTTGTTTCCAAATTGTGCTGTTATAAACATGTGTGCACGTATGTCACTGTGGTATGATGCTTTCAGTTCTTCTGGGAATATGCCTAGAAGTGGAATAGCTGGAACAAATGGCACTTCCAATCCCAGCTTTTTGAGAAATCTCCACCCTGACCTCCACAATGGCTGTACCAGTCTACACTCCCACCAACAGTGCAGGAGAGTTTCTTTTTCCCCACAGCCTCTCCAGCATTTGTTGTTGTTGGTTTTCTTGATCCTGGCCATTCTTTCAGGAGTAAGATGGAATCTCATTGTGGTTTTAATTTGCATTTCTCTAATGACCAATGATAATGAACATTTTTTCATGTATTTATTTGCCATTTGTATTTCTTCATCTGAGAAGTGCATATTCATCTCAGATGCCCATTTTTGGCAAATTGACTTCTTGTTACTCTTCCCAAACCCAGCATGGCTTGCACTGGCTCATGGGAAGGGAAATTGGCTCATAATATTAATTCACATATAATTGCTTCTTTTGCCACTCCCCATTCTTTTTTTTTTTTTTTTTTTTTTTTTTTTTTGTCTTTTTGCTTTTTATTGGTACTGGGGATCGAACTCACGACTGCCTGCTTGCAAGGCAGGCACTTATGCTGCTGAGCTAAATCCCCAGCCTCTCCACTCCCCATTCTTTTTGCTACTATTTTCAGTTATTTTACTCTTATATATGTTACAAATCCTATGGTGCATTGTTACTAGTTCTGCTGTGCATAATCTGTTCTCTTTTAAAGGGATTAAAAGTAAGAAAAATGGTTTTCATATATATCCTCAATTTTTTTTCTACCGTTTTGAATATTTTTAATATATTTGCGTAGATTAAATTTCTGCCTGACAGCTTCTCCTCTGCTTGAAAAACTTCCTTCAGGACTGTTTATAGTGCAAAGCTTGTGCTCCCTAAATCCTTTCAACTTGTGCTGGTCTAGAAACTGTCAATTTCACTTTATTCCAGCTTTATATATAATTAATATAGCATTCACATAGCACACAGTTCACTCATTTAGGTGTGAAATCAGGGAGTTTTAGCACATTCATAGAACTGTGCAGTCATCTCTACAAATTTAGAACATTTGCATTACCTCCAAAAGAAACTCCGAATCCTTTAACAGACACTTTCCACTTTTCCATGCCTCAGTCCATGATGACTGTTACTCTTTCTTTCTCTATAGATTCATTTCTTATAGGCATTTCATATACCCAGAACCATACTGCATGTAATGTTTTATGTCTGTCTTCTATTGCTTGGTGTAATATTTTCAAGGCTCATCCATGCTGTCGCATCATTTTTTTCTACTGCTGAATAGTACTTCATTGTATGGGTACACCACATTTTGTTCATCTGCTCATAAGCTGATGGACATTTGGTTTGTTTCCACCTTTAGCTATCGTGCATAATGCTGCTATGAACATTTTGTGAACGAGTGTTCAAGTAGACATAGTTCTGTTCTTCTGAGTGTAGACCTGGGCATGGAATTGCTGGGTCACTCCTGGTGCTTCTGTGATTAGCAGTGAGAGGAACTACCAGCTGTGTTTGAAGGAGTTACAGCATTCTGTGTTCCTGTGTGCTGTACATGAGCGCCTTCCTGCTCTCGCCCTGCTCTAACTGTCAGTACTTGACCTCTGCCTCCTCTTGATGTGGAATCCTGGGCCCAAGAGACTTTTTTCTCCCACCCCAGGGCAGGTACTTTTTGCTGGTTCTTTTTTTTTTTTTTTCTTTTGTTCTTTCTGGGTACCGGGAATTGAACTCAGGACCTCAGGCTTTCTCGGCAAGTGCTGTGCCACTGAACTAAATCCAGGCCCCTTTGCTAGTTCTCGTATACAAAAATTTCAAGTTTTCATTTGATTCCTGGGAGTAGCAGGAAGGAGGACTTTACGGAGAACATCCCCCACAGTGACTCTGCTGTCCTTCTCTTAGTGGCATAAAGCTGTGCTGTGAGACAGGAAGGCTCTGGAAAGTGAGAAGCACCTGTACTGGGCCCCAGTGGCAGCTGAGCCTGGCAGGCCCATGCCTCTTGGGACTCTCGTGGTCTCTGCTCCGCTCTCAGTCTGTCCTGTATGCTCCTGCTCCAGGCTCCCAGCAGTAACTTTACGGCTCCAGCTAGTCCTAAGAATACTAGCTGCCTTTGCCCTTTAGGAATTTGTTAAAATTTAGGCTGACTTAGTTTATCTTTGTCTCTATCATGTCTCCTCTTGTGTTCTGCAAAGGTGAATGGTTTGTGTGACCTGTCTCTCCTTAAGGGATTTTGTCACAGTTTGGAATTCAATACTCTTGGGTGCTTTAGCTCTTTAATGACTTTCAGAGCATGTGCGGTTTCGTAGATCATGTGACTTTTTTGTTTTCAGGATGAAAATGATGTTATCTTCAGATTTTCTGCAACTTAAGCAGAGGGGTGTTTTTCTCATGATTTTTAAAATCACTTTTATTTCTGTTTTTCCTTTTTGTCAATTCTTTTGATAGTTTCCAGTATATCTATTAAGATTTTACTGTTTTATTAAATTTCACAACATTCTAATACAGTGAGGATATTTTTTGTTGTATTTACTGCAAATATTGTTTCAATGCTTCTTGCTTCCTAATTGAACTATTCATCTATAAAGATATGTAACATTTTGGCATGGTGGAACCCACTGATCTTTCATTTTGGGTATTCCTTTTATCTTTTTTAAGCCTGGGAAGGCTGTCCTCTCTGGAGATTGATAAAGTGCTCCTTTTTACTTGTTCCCAGTAGTTTTAAAGCTCCTCCCCCCTTAATTCTCTTTCATCCTCTTAGAATTTATTGGTAAAAGGCAACATTCCATAAGTTTACTTTTCTTTCACAAATGTTCAACTAATTCCATCAATATTTATGAATAATAGTCTTCCCTTACCCATTGAATATATTACATTGTTTTTTTTTTTCTTTGAGGTACTGGGGGCTGAATGCAGAGCTTTTGAATTGCGTTATATACCCAGCCTTTATTTACTTATTATTTATTTATCGGCAGGATCTTGCTAAATTGCCAGAAAATGCTCAAACTTATGATCCTCCTGCCTCCTCCTAGAATGCTAAAATCACAGGCATGTACCACTAAGTTTGAGACATACTATATTTTTGTAAGGCAAGACCTACATCTGGACCACCTGAACTTTTTCCATCATCTGGCCATTCATGTGGATTTTCCTTCAAATTTAATACAAGTACATTATTTAGACTTGAAAAAAATTGTTTTTCTGTTAGAAACAAAACCTGCTATCTCCCTCCCCAGTCTAT